ATCATGTAATTTGTGTTGCATTGTGTATGGTTTGCTTGGCAGAGTTAATTACTGTGAATAATGCACAGTGGTGGAAATCTCAGGCTGTGGGCTGAGCAGTTTCTGTGCTGGTAGATATTTCCAGGTGACACAGTACGGCGAGCTGATGCTTCTGTGTATGGGAAGCTTTCCCATGTTCCTGACCTTGTTTTTGAGGGTACAGCAGTGTACACTGCTGAGGATGTGTGGTGTTAGAGGTGGTACACAGGGCATACTCTTTGGAGTCACCTTCTTCTTCAAGTGGGCACCAATGCCCGAGCTTTTATTCTATATTCTCAGTTATAATTTAATAATTGAACATGAGATTATTTTCAGCTCTTTGATATTATAAGCAACATTGCAATGACTATATATATTATATATATATATAGAGAGATCATTGTGTGTAACTCTGAGTATTAAATTAGGAAAGATTTCTGGAAATAACATAACTGAGTTAAGAGCAATGTACAGTTTGAAGTTTATTTAAAGAAATTTATAGAGTGGGGCTGGAGAGATGGTGCAACAATTAAGAGCACCGACTGCTCTTGCAGAGGACCTGGGTTCGATTCCCAGCACCTACATGATGGCTAAAAAACATCTGTAACTCCAGTTCCAGGGGAATTTGATACTCATTTTTAATCTCTGTGGGCATTGCATGACACAAATGCACTTACATACATGTAGGCAATACACTCATATACATAAAATAAAAATAATAAAAATTAAAAATTTATAGAGTAAATAAACTTGATAAACAATATGCTATATGAGGCAGTGAATATTATTACACTGTGTTATGATAGTTCATTGTAATAAACCCACTAAATAAAGGTTTTTTATTTAAAATTTGAACCTCATTGCCACTGTCACTCATTATGCCAATTTTAAAAATATTTTATTATTTTTATATTATGTGTATGTATGTATTGCCTGTATGTAGGTAAGTGCATCCATGTCTTACAATGCCCGCAGAGGACAGAAGAGGCTCTTGGATCCCCTGAAACTGGAGTTACGGACAGTTGTTAGCTGCCACGTGGGTGCTGGGATTCAAACCCAGGTCTTCTGTAAGAACAACCAGTGTTTTTAACCTTTGAGCCATCTCTCCAGCATCATGCCATTTTTATAGGCCATCAGGGATCTAGTTTTAATTTTCTTTTACTTAGTAGGCATGTGCAGCATTTTTCTTATTACCTTTGTCTTTTTCAGTTTTTCTTTTTCAGTTTTTTGTAAAATGGTTGTTAACAGCTTCATTCCAGGACACATGATGGCCCTAGGGTTGCAGGAAAGGTCCTCATGGTGGCTAAGTGCAAGGTATAGTCACAAGACACTTGAGTGAAGGTCTCTTGGCTATTCTAGAGCACAAGTCATCTCTGCCTCTGTGTGGGAATCATCACAATGAGAGGCTGCAGGGAGGCAAGGAGCCACTGACACTGGGGCCTGACTTGGTTCTTTGGACCCAGGGTCTCGTGGAGTAGTTATCTTTGTCATCTCTCATAATCTGCACTGGTTCTAATGACCTGGCTTAGCTAGGACAGCACCCTGCACACATAGTCCTGGCCCACTGTGGGCTCCCAGCAAACTAGCTACTCCCACACTCAGGTGTGGCCATTCTGTACCAGGGGCACGACCAGCCGTAAGGGTCTCATGTGCTGAACCTGAATGGGGCCTCTGAACAGCCAGGAATGGTTCTGGGATATAGTTCCTGACACACCCACCATCCTGTGCTTGGTGCTGTTTTGCAGAGGCCCTGGAGGACCTGTTTGCTTTTTGGGATTGTGTTTGTCCCATTCTGCTGACTCTTCTGCCGGTTGGTCCTCAGTCCCTGATCACCTCTGTCTTGGCCTCTGCTTTGTTGCTCCTGACTCTGTCTGGTAATGACCCTTAACCTTTAATGTCATTCTTATTTTCACACATTTAAAGTTTCTTCTCACAGCCCCACATGGCGCCTTTTCTGGTGGTGTGCACTGTATAACCCAGTAGTTCAAAGGTTTTAGGACTGGCTTTCCCTTCACACATGGTGGCACCTTTGCTGCCCCGCTAAGCCACTCAGCATTACCTGGACTGCTGACCCTAACCCTGTCTACTCCTGCCTTCCCTCATTCTTTTCCCTTTGGATTCCCCCTCTCACAGCCCACCCCCTGACAAAGCAGAGCCCTGAGGGGGAGGGAAGAAACAGATGCATGGAGTTGGGGGCCAGGGTAGCATTAACTGGAGTTTCCTATGTGAACTGGCTTCACCAAGGGCTAAGCACCTGAGTTCAGACATCCATGTCTCATCCTTCAAATACTGGACCTATAGTAACCTCCAGCTCCTGCAGAGCTAAGAACAGTCACTCAGGTGTCACTGTAAGTGGATAGAATCCAGATAAAGGCTTACTCATGCAAGACAAAAGTCAGCACATAACAAGTGCCAGCATGGGGGCTTTATTGTACTCCATCGTTAAATCTGAAAGGATGGTAAATTTTTTTATGATTCAAAAATCATTGAGTTTACATATCGTAGACTTATAGCAACATTTTTTTTGAACCATAATAGCTAGTGTTTTGAAAAGGCATTGAATTTCTGTGCTTTTTTGAGCCTTTACATAAAACTTCACCTGTGAGGTTATAAAAACCCTGACTTTTCAAAAGGAGAGCTGTCTTGGTCTCTGCTTAGTAATTATACAATGGGTCATCATCAGCTCCAGCTGTTCAACAGAAACTGCTTTTGAAAAGGCCTGAAGCAGTACTGGGGGAGGGGTGGGGGGAGCGGGGAGAAGGGGTCTTCCCTGCAGGGGAGAGAGAGAGAGAGAGAGAGAGAGAGAGAGAGAGGGAGGAGAGAGAAGAACATAAGGAACAGAGAGAGAGGAGAGAGAGAGAGAAACACTTCAGGAGCCAGGTGACCACCTGCTGACGTGGCCACTTGCTCCACTTTCCTTGTTAATCCTTAAGAGAACATAAAAGAAGGGTGCGTCCCTTTTCTTTCCATCTGCAAAGAACACTTTTCTATATAAAAGATGCCCCAAATCCTTTGTAAGGGTTCTGTTCCCAAGCAGCATGTTCTGAGGTGCCTGCTGGCAGTAATGATGACATTGTGAAGAGCCATGGTCTCCACTGAACTGCTTCTCCTGTCCTTGTCCCTATTTCCCAAGAACAATAGAGTTAATTTGTAAATGGCCAGAGGTCTAAGTGGTCACAGCAGAGAGAGGCTGGCTCCTCACCCAGTTTGTTAGTGGGTTAGGCTGAGGCTTAACTTTAAACCAGAGTTAGAGAAAAATCTATAAAGATGATGGTAGGTGTCCTTGCGAGCAGGGTCTAGGAATCCTCAGGAAGCACTAGACAGGGCTGTTTACCAAGTGCATAGTGACTTTAGGAGTGGTATTGGCCTTTTGCCACCCCAGGTCCCAGGCCTGCTCAGAGCCCAGCGTCCTCAATTCCATTTTTACCTGTAGAAGTTCATAATGGGGACATACTCAGATAAACATAGGTACATGTGAAAATAAAAATTTAATGAGGAATTGACCCAGTATAAAGCAGTTTCTGAAAATACTATACCTCTGAGCTGGGGCAGGGGTACATCTTTGATCTTAGTACTCTGGAGGCTAAGGCAGGAGAATGGAGACTTCAAAGCCAGACTGGACTATATACTGGGGCCCTGTCCTGAAAAAGAAAAAAAAAATTCAGTTGCTCATGCAGAAGGGAAAGACCAGATGGCCATTCTGGCTTGATTGAAAAAAGCTGGCTAAGAACCTCTATGCAGCCTGACCTAATTTCCATGAGTAAACAGAGAGAGGGTGAGCAGGAAGTTGTCTGTGTGACAGAAACGTCCTAGAGGCCAGCATCCAGTTCACAATGGCCACTTCTGGCGGTACAGGAGGAACTCAGAACATTTCACTTCCTGTGTAACAACTGCCCACAAACCTGAAGTTTCACAACTCTTCTGGAAAGTTTGTATAACTTGAAACAGCTAATTAAAAATGGCTGGGTTTTGGTGAGAAAGGAAAAACACATGCATTCTCACAGATGGAGAGGGGCTTCTCAGAGTGGCTCCCAGTTGTCCTAGCAGGCTGACTCTCCTAGGCCCATCTGCAGAGTGGTGCTACCTGGGGTACCTCAACCCAAGCACCCCAAGCAGACAGGACAACTGCTATCCCAGAGGGCCCTGCAGAGCCTTCTCTTCCTGTCTGCTTTCTCTGAGGAAAATTCCCCAGAAGCTGGACTACCTGGCTCATTTCTATGTTCATCCTCTTGAGAATTTGATAGTGTGCAGAGTTTCTGACTATACAGCAGCAGTATGGTGAGTGTGGAGTAGGAACAGAATTTATCTGCCTCAGAGCTAAGTCAGAGTACACAAGCATCCACAGTCAAGCACACACACATGCACAGACTCATACCTGAGCACACCCACCCACATGCACACACAAGTGAACACCCATAAGTACCCCCGCAGCACATACCCATGTAGTCCCACTTGAGCATGCAAACCTGCATGCATACACATGAACCCCTACATACATATAAGCAAACCCACTCAAACTTCAGCACACACACACACCTGCATATATAACACCCACTTGAGCACACATGCATGAACACTCATGTGTACACATGTACCTGTAGGCAAACCCAGTCACAATTGAGCATATAGGCACAAAGATACCTGTGTATATACCTGCATATACACACTCATTCATGCACACACAACTGTGTGCACATCTTCCATGCACACACATAAATTCTGGCCTACTGTGTTGACAAGGATCATGTTCTGCAGGGAAGGCATTAGGGCTGCAGGGCAAGGATAGCCAGGTGTCTCAGGCACATCTGCAGGGCTGCCACTCACACATTTTGGCCAATGCAGATCTACTTTCTTGCATCTAGACCTGTGAGTAGGATGATCTAGAGTCAGAGGACCTTTTTCCAGTGCAGTACACTGTCTGTACCTTTTTGAGTGCAGCAGCACGCAGCTGTGTTCTCAGCAACACTTACGGTGAACTCTCAGACAGAATGAAATCAGGTTTATTGCAGTATGTACACAGCTCAGTTCCACTCTGTGGTGCAGTTTGTGGACATTCCACATATAACACATAAGAACACATGATGACCATGTTGTCACTATCTCATCTCTGCTTTCCATCAGCTCTACTGGTGCCCAGGTTACAACCAGCTCATCCCTTCATCAGGGAGAGAACCCAGGTCCAGCTTTGTTTAGTGTTAGCATATGCTGGGCTGAAGTGACTGTTTCCCTTACACATCTAGATGTCCCATGTGTGATCAGTGACTGCTCGTTGGCTGACAGTTGCTTGTGCTCACAGGTCCTCCATGTTTGTGCAGGGTAATGGCACAGTGTCCATACGTGGTTGTTGGTAGGACATTTTCAGATACAGTAAAGTTTTGTTTCTTCAGAACTGCTGGAGTAAGCTGCAGTAGTGCTGGAGGCAGGTCCAAAGAGAGTCAGGGCTGTCCCCAGGGCTCCCAGTATCCACTTCTTTTCTTTTGCTGCACCCACTGCCACTGTCAACAGCTTTTTTCTGAGGTATCTGGCATGGGCCATTTGCTCCCCACGTCCTGCCTTCTAGCCTTGCAGCCTCAGGAGGTGGCAGGTTAGCAGTGTTTTCTAGGTCCTCTGAGCTGTCCACCCACTGAAACTATAGACAAACTGGGGGCTTGTTCAGAGTTGGTTGAGGCAAAAGGCCAGGAGTGTCCCATGGGATAGTACAATGCAGTTGGTCCAGGTTATTCAGGTCAGAAGCCTGGCCTCTGGGTCTGATCTGGTCTCTAGACAGTCACTGCTCTGTTATCCTAAGGCTCCCAGGTACTTTTATTTCCTGGGACCTGTGAGTGGGACCTTCACTTTTGCTGTCTCCTGACCTCAAAACCTCTGGTACAGCTGTTGAGGTCACTGGCATTTACACAGCTTGGGTCTACATGTCACTGAAGCCACAGGAAAAAGATTTTGCTGCCCTTATCCTTTGAGCAGGGGGTAAGTGATATAAAATGTGTTCAGAATGCCAGATCCAGCAGCTGTGGCCCTTGCACTGGGCAGAGGCATAGTCTTCTAGGGTCTCTGGGCACTACAGGGACCATGCCCTCCCACACTTTGGCTGCTTCTGCAGCCACATCAAGTACCTTCCCTCAGATCCACCTGTCCATTTCTGCAAATGAAGTAGGGAAAGTGAGGAGTGCTACTGGTAAATATTGGATAGGTGTACTTGATGCCACTTTACATTTGGTAAATCATTCTCCATTTAGACAAATGGTGGTTTTCATTAAAAATAGAACAGGTTTCCTGTCACTCAGAAAACATCCTTGGGCTATGTGGACAGTCACCAGGATTGTAGCCTGAGAGTTAGCCTGAGAGATCCCAGAGCTTCTGCCAGCCTTACCACTTGCAGGAAGTGGCAGGTACCAAGTACCCTAGGAGAATGTGGGTTTCTGGCTGGGCCACTGAACCATGAACACCCTCTCTGACTTCTGTCATTACAGAATGCCCCAGGGAGTGGCAAGGGTGTGGCTGTATGGGTGTAGAGGTTTGGAGCAACAGTCCCAGAGGGCAGGACCGGAGGCCAAGGGAACCAGGCAGCCTCTTAGGCAGGGTGGGCTGCTCCTGGTTGCTTTCCCTGGTCTGCCACAGATTGAGGAAGAATTCCACAGAAATTAACACTCATGTGTCAGTTGCCACTGCCAGTTCTGGACATGGTTCCCCTGACGGGAGGCAAAAAGGAAACCAGAAACCCTCTCGTCGTCTTCAGAGGTGGCTGGGCCAAAGTACCGGTTTTCACGTTCAGGGCCATCTTGCTTTCCCGCTCTCTTTGGAAGTCTACCTGCCTATGCAGCTGAGCCATGTTGTGAGCATGATGGTCTAAAGGCTGGAGTTTGATGATAATAATTAGTGTTTCAATCAAGTTACACAGTGGGATCAGGGCAAAGACCAGGACTGACCCAACAGGACATCCAACACTGCGACAGCAGAGGAAGCCAGCAAACACATGTGTCAAACCTAGCAGCACTGTCAGCTTTGTGTGACATACAGCTAGATGACTGAGGTCTCTGTCTGCAGGAAAGACTGGGCACGGGAGCCACGGTGTATCTGCAGGGCACTTTCTGAGCCATTCCGGGACATGGACCAGCTATGCAGCCGGTAGTCCTGGTTCCCAGGCTGGGTCAGGCACAGACCTCGCCACTTTCTCTTCAGCTCACACTGTACCTAGGGAGGAAAGCATCAGTGAAGGGTCAGCTACGAACATAGGAACTCATGTGCTCTGCATAGACATAAAGCATGGGTTTAGCCAACAGACAGCAAGTGGCTGGTATATTTTCAGGAGAGCTCTTCCCCTAGAAGCCATAGGATGGGTGCTTTGGCCCATCCCCACTGCTGGTTCCTGGGGAGGAAGTTTTACCCTCAGGAATGTGTTAGGTGAGTGAGGAGGTGTAGGCAGAACACATCAAGCTGTAGGAAATGGGTCCAGCTTTGTAGACACCAAAAGGCTTCACTGTTGCAGCACGGGGCTTGGAGTAGGGGGTATAGGAGATGGTATAGCCTCAGGGCCGCTGGGGATACTGTTGTAGTGTGCTTTGCTCTGGCACAGTCCTATGGTTCCTGTAGGGCTTTTAACAACTTCTCCTTCTGAGGACTCTGAGTGAATAAGGGGCTAGAAAGGAGCAGGTATGTTGGTTCTAGAAAAGCTTTCCTTATAACTGCAGAGAGCAGGTTACTAGGTAAGGGGCACATAGTGACAGCTAGCAATGCCTGGGGAGAGCAAGCTCTGGGGACTGAGGGTTTCAGGAAAGGGGGTTACATAAGAAGAACTGGGTTCCCACTTTGTCTTGGGACAAAGTGATACATCTCTTGATGAGGCCCAGACCCTTCTACCAAGCCCTGACTTGCTGGACTCGATTGTGAGTTGAAGAGAAGATGCTGATCGTGAAAGAGACACTGAGTGGAGGGAAGAAGCTCAGTTTGAGGGGAAGGGGTAGAAACCATGCTAAGATGGGGCTTCTGGTGCAGTAGATTTGCCCTTGGTCATGTAGGGCCCAGCCAGGCAGAGGCAGGCAGTGGAGCCGACCCTGATCCAATGTCTATGCTCAGTTTCTGGTGACAAAGGATTTACCTCGCTGTTCAGGAAGCAGTACAGTATCGCTACGACCAGGCCCTGTAAAGAGACAGAGTATCAGAGCTGCCTATAGCTTGCAGCACCCAAAGCACTTCCCACACTTACCTGGAAGGAACCGACGCAAAGTTCAAACAGGATCTGGTATGTGGAGGAGATGCCGATGGGGAAGGCAGCAAACACCATGTAGTGGACACCAAACAGTGGTATTAGCAGCAGTGTGGATTTGGCGAGCCTCCTAGCAAAAAGAGAGTAATGTGATGCTTTGTGGCTCTCCTCTCCTCCACCACACTAGGCCATGGGAGGTTTCAAAGGCTGATAGTTATGGGCAGGGAATACGCACAGGAGTTTACTCTTTTTGTACTCATTGAGCCCCCTCTTTGTTCATTTGGGCAGAATTTGCAAATATATCCATGTGATTTTGCTCATGAGGGGAAGACCCTTAGAGGGCATCTTGTGTAGCTCACCAGCTATGATTGACTTTCAAGGGACTTATTGTCCTTGTCACCAATGCCAATAGGTGGGTTACACTAACTTGAATAAGAAAATTCAGGTGGGGCTGAGCTGTAGTTCAGTGACAAAGCCTACTATGAACAGGGCCCTGGATTTCATCCTCAGCACTTGGTTGGGGGTGGGTTTCATGGGGCAACCTCACAATATACTCTCTTGCTGATCTAGTCAAAATGAATTAATTTTTCTTGGCACTTGAGTTACCTCAGTCAAGGCTTCCCAGACACCTACAGCATTGGAACCTCCTGGAAGCCTTGTCATAGCTCAGATTCCAGTCCTTATCAGGACTCGAACACTAGGGCTACAGACTGACAAATCTGCATTTCAGTTTGCAGTGATGTCTGAGAACCCACTTTGAGAACCACTGCTTTAGGCTTGTGGCTCCACTGCTCTTCTTTGGAACCCCAAGGTGATTTTGACACCTCATTCTGCCAGGTACCTCCAGCTGCTCAGGAGTGAGGGGTCACCTGGAGAGGACAGTTGTGTGGGAGCATTTTGCTGGCTACTAAGTGAACGCCACTAAGCACTTAGGCAGCCCCACCTCCTCTGGACTCAGCTGGGGGAAGCAGGAGGCTCCTCCTGGCTCCAGTCTCACTTCTTTTCTTACCTCCAAACACTTAGGAAAAACATCAATTTCTCCAACTGCTTTTCAAGGCATCTTCCTTAAGACTACACTGAACAGAGGATACAAGTTTTAGACATGTGCTTTCCCCCAAACACCATTTCCTATGGGGTTTATAGAGAGCAATATTTCTTGCCTAATGGATAAACTGCATAGAAGCTTGGTCTCTTCTGTGATGGTCCTGTGTGAGTGGTAAGTATTTCCCCCAGCAGGATGTCACTGGCTGCTGCCTTGCAGATGGGAGCCTAGTATGGCCTAGATCTACCCATCTGTCCCTACGGAGGAGTTGTGGGTGAGGCAGGCTTCTAGTCTCTCTTTGCTAAAACGCAGGGGTGAAACACAGCCCTCTGCCCTTCTCGTCACCCTGGAAAAGCACAGATTTCATTACCCCATATAATTTTGTTTCCAAAATGAAAGCATCCATCTCAAAACCTTCTTAACTAATACTCCCCAGGAACTCAGAGAAAAGGTCAGCACAGACACTAAACAAGATTTGCACAAAATCCAAATTCAATTGAAGGGTGACCAAGAACGTGTTCCTTCTGCTTCCCAGGGCTGCAGGAGGGAGGCCTGAGGGCTTCCAGCACTTCCTCGCAGACAGCATAGTCAGCCCATACCTTGTTACCTGCAGCCCGACAGGTTACCTCTTCAGGTTGGGCCACACAGAGAAACTCCTTCCTGGGTTTTTATGCACAGCATGGTACAATTATGACATAAACGACCACCAAACCCTTTCTGGATTCTTTTTTGTCGGGCACTGAATGTCTTCCAAGGATTAATTCAATTGTTTCTCAAACCTAACAGGCAAATATCCTTTCCATTTTACAGGGGAGGGGACAGAGTACAGGGCAGGTCCCCTCCTGCAGAGTTCTGTTGTTCGCTCAGCTGCATTCTTGAGGGGGAAGGAACTGGATGCATGCAGTAGCTCCCAGCTGGCTTGTAACTGGGGACCTACTGGAGTGATACAGCTTTTAGCCAGTACAGGCCCATCTGAGCTCAGGCTCCTGAGGTGCAAAAAACCATCAGCACTGATCCTGTGTTCATTTCACACATGAGTTTTCTTTTTCTTTTGTGAATTATGGGTAGTTTATGAATTCCTTGGAGCATTATGAATAGGTGACATTCCTGACCTCTGCCCTGTGCCCTTCACTTAACACACAGTTTGTCAGATTGTTAATAAAACAGGGCTAGGTATAAGGTGCCAGCAGTGGATGTGCAGCCCAGCCCCAGGGTCTGGTGGGAAAGACAGTCTTAATATGAAGAACGATGTATGGTCCACGGGGATGGCAGGCTGCATTTTCATAGCAGGACCACACACCTAAGGAGCACCCCTATTACAAGACTGTCCACATGTTGTCAAACATGAGAGAAGGTTCCTGTTTTAAGCATCACCATGTAGGCATGGCCCTTTGCCCCTCTGAGTGCTGGGCTGGCAGACCCGGGTGTCAGTGCAAGCTGAGCCTGTGGCCACCGAGATACCTTGAGGACCTTCTACAGGTCAGAACTGGGCTCTACTTTCCATGTACTTGGCTATATGTGTTTCCCAAGCTGGACAAGTGGATACTCACTTGTACTGTGACTGGTCATTGCCACCAACATCTGGGGAAGTTAGCTTCTGCAGTAAGATCCTTATAATGCTGACAAACAGGACAAAGTTGACCTGCACAGAGATAACACAGGGCCACTTGATCTGCTGCAGAGATGAGCCTGTGGGCATCTGCAATCCCATCCCTGCCCACCCATCGCAGGATTTAGTCACCACCTGCCCCAACCACTAGGTCTACCCACCACACCATAGAGGGCCTCATCTTGGCATTGAGGTTACCAATGAATAAGGCTGTGGTTGTCTGAGCATCTGGAAATGCATAACAGACAACTGTAATCTCCTTTAGGCTTCAGATCCTAAGGATCTTCATTTCTCAGGGCCCATCTTTCCCTGGGAACTGCCCTGGAGGTGATAGGGCCTTTCTGTAGGAAGGTAGAAGCCACTTGCACACAGTGAAGCATGGTGCAGGTACATAACAGAGGGGCAGAGCCTTGCCTTGCCACAGGCAGCTACTTACTACAATAGAAATTAGAATGGGCATCCGAATGACCCACCAAGGTATGCTGTGGTCGTTTGTGTCCCAGCAACTGTTAGAGAGATAGAAACTGGTGTCATACTGACTCTATCTACAAACTAGGTTCTCAATGAAGAATGGGTCAGCTGAGGGCTGACCTCTTACATGGAGCTTACGGAACCAACCTGCCACCTTCACAGGCATCACATTCCATCTCTCTATCTGACAAAGCTTATCAGGTTACCCTGCTCTATATCCCACTGCTCTGCATGTAGAGTGAAACAGCTGTCCTCAGAGACCCAGCTTGACAGCCTGTTAATGGAGAGGTGGGAAGGAGTGTATCCCCAGGGCCCCATAAAGCTGTGGTTTTAATTCAAGGCTTGCATTCTAAGTTCACCTGATGTCATGAAGAAGGATTTTTTCTTCTGAAAATTTTTTCCACCCCACAGTGGTTTAAATCTATATTTTAGATGAAGAATTTAAGAATGCCTTGAGAGTGGTTGAAGTGGGCCTGATTTTCCATGATGGTTGTCTGTGGCATGACTATACAAGGCTTCCATATTCCCTTGGCATTCACCGTCCACAGTGGACACTGATGTTTCAACAAGAGCAGAGATGACATCTGTGGTCTTGGAACCCAGCTAATTTGACTCTGAGAGCTCAAACTCATGTCCATTCTCTCAGGAACCCCGAGGGCTGAGGCGCCTGCCAGCTGACACTGCCTCAGCTGTTAGTTCTGCTGACCTGAGGGTGACTGGGCCAGAGAGCCCAACTGAGGAAGAACTGTAGGAGGTGGAGTGTCTTTCAGTTGTTAGTGTATAAAACAAGGAAATGGATAACTTTAGACCATCTATCTATAGAGTGATCTGTTGCTCAGTGGACAACTGACACCTTGGGGTCCTTTATGAGGTATATCCAGGCTGGGGATGCCTGGGCCTGTGCGTGGGGCTAGGGTCTGGCTCTTTGGTCAGAACAGGAGCTCCTGGATTGTGTCACTGCCACTGGGCTCAAAAGTTCTCAAGAGAGGAGCTGCTCACAGTGGCATTTAGTCAGTCACACAGCCTGATCTCAATGCTTTTGCTAAAGCAAACCTGCTTGCACTCTGCTTGGCTCTTTTAGGGGACACTGAGGAGCCATGTAAAATGTTAACCTTTTCTGCCTGGTTTTCCCCAGTCTTAGACTACAGGCCTGGCTTGATTTTCATGTCCCATATGAGCCTTCTTTCAAATACTGCAACCTACAGTAAGTAAGCCTATTTCTGTCTAGGTCTTCTACTCATGGGGTGTTAGAGTTGCATAGAAATGTCTAGCTTGTCCCTAATGGTATAATGGTACAAGCCTCTGGACACTCAACCAGCACTGCCAGGCTTTGTTTTGCAGGCAGGGATGCATACACAGTACTCACCCTGTATCTTCTAAAGAAAGGCGGGTTGCTGTCCACGCACCTATGCAGACACTGGGGATACCTGTAAAAAGACACCCATAAGATTGGCCATTGAGCATCAATGAGGAGCAGCACCTGTACATACCCAGGCTCAGGAGCCAGAACTATAAAAGATGAGTTTGTGACCACGGTTCATATGGAAGCTTTTACCAAATGTCTTCATTAATATGCACATGTTTACACTTATGCCTTACTAAGCAGCAATATGTCTGAAAGCTGAGAATCTGGCCAGGGCTGAAACCCGGCTACTGAACACAGGGAGGCCAAGCAAGAGGGAGACATTCTCACTCCTCATTAATGCTCTGGGGGCTTTACATTTGCCCTTCCCAGCCTCACAATGCCCCTCTCCTGCCTTCCTGCTCTGGGCAGGGCAGGATTCCTGCCTGCAGGCAGATGTGTCATTAGCCTGCTGCTCTCTGATTTCCCACTGTTGATATGAACTGACTGGGAAAAGGGAAAGGCAGAAACCATTTTGGTACTTGTTAGCAGCTCAGCTTCCTTTGAGGTGAAGAGGCCATGAAGGATAGAACTCTAGAGCATTTTAAACCAGGTCCCTGGTTACTAGAAATATTCAGGTATTGTCTTTAGGAACCTCAGTGCACCTAAGGTGCTCATGCAGTATACCCCTGGGGCAGCAGTGTTCTGAGCAGAGGTCTTAACACCTCGGTCAAATGGGAATCAAGGTGAGGTGTACAGAGAGACCTTACCCCATCCAATCAGAAGGTAGGCCAGGAAGCACCTGCTTGGGGGAAGGATGGCCACCAGAAGGGTGTGCAGGTAGAGACCCTCCACCAGGAGCCAGTAGAAGTTCGCCATGATGCAGTACTGGAAGAACACCAGGCTGAGCTTGCAGCCGACCTGGAACCAGAGACAGCAAGGGAGAGTGCTCCTTGGTAAAAATAGTTAAGGCAGGCAGAGCTGCTCTGTTTGGATAAGTTGTAAAGCATTGCCAGGGTCTGGCTTGGAGGGGTGTTGTAAATATATTGGCTTGGCAGGGGCCAAGAATGTGTTATGTTGAGGTAGAACCCTTAGTATACACAATGCCAGGGACCATCTATGAGAAGCCTCTGACTCCCTGAGGGCAGAAGAGTGGGAAGAGAGGTGAGAGTAAACACTCCCAGGAACAAACACTGGGTCCAGGGAGCCAACTGCTGGCTCCCTTCCTGGACACCAGGATGAGACACGCCTCTTCCCACTTGCTCTGTCTTTTTGCCCTGTCACTCCGCCCCTTCTCTCTGTACTTTCCCCACTCAAGACTCTCATCCTCCCCCAGGATCTGCAATGGAGAAAGAGAGCACCTGCTGGCCAGAGACAGGTGGACTGCTAAACAAGGAATGAGCACTGGAGAAGGCTGAAGGACTGTGGTCATTTCCCTTAACAGAACATCAGGTGATAATAAGTCTGGGAAGAGAAAACAGTGGGCCAAAGCTAGGTTCCTAGACTTTCAAAATTTTCAGAACCCTCTAAGATACTATGTCATTTTTTCCCCAGTAAAGAGCATTTCAAAACTCTTAGGAAAAATAGTTCATTTGTTGGATTTTCTTTTGGTTTTTGTTTTTCAACTTTAATTTCTCAAAATTTAAAACACTTTTTACATTCAGGGTCAAGTACCTTAAGGCCTTGTCAGTTAGCTAGAAAGACCACTGTGTTTTAAATAACTCTGCCTATATGTGTGTGTGTGTGTGTGTGTGTGTGTATTTGTGCACGTATGTATATACCCACGCCATGTACAGATACAAAAGTGTTCTCACCCACCTGTGTATGAATATGTACCCTCTGTGTGCATAAATAAATCCATTCCACATGGGCCAACCCATATATATATGAATATCAACCTACATGTATATATACTGTGTATCTATATGTGTGGCTATGTACTTGTATAGATACAGAAATAAAAATGGAGTTTGGAGTGGTATTCTTTTTCAGCAAATTTTACAGTCACATAGTTATAGAACATGAAGTTGAAATCCCTGATATATTTAGCCATATGAAAGGAGACCAAAGATTAAAACAGAGTGATTGTATATTGTACATCATACATGGGGTTGGATGTACTTATGGGCAGCAAGGAGGCATTTCCAGCTGGCCTACAGGATCATGGGGGCTTGACTATAACACCCATGGAGTGCCACACCTGCTCTAGCCTGCTCCAAATGCCATGGTCTTATGTTGCATTGCCTTCTTTTTCTCCAAAGCACAGCAAGGTACAGAGCAACTCTTGTTTGTAGGAACAGCTGGACAACAGAAACTTCTTACTGTACACCTTCACCATCAGTGATTGTAGCAACTTCTGACCTGGGCCTGGGAGCCTGGGCATAACTGTCACAACCACAGCCATGACAACAAGAAAACCTCTCATTGGAATAGTGAGTGAAATAAATCAAATTTAAATCCTTTGGGAGGTGAATCTGGGAGGAAGCAACCTCATGTGAATGTATCTTGCTTTCTCTCAACTTTTGATAAGGGTTATCCTACTTTAAAGTACAAAATGAGTAAGTTATAAGTGAATTAAAGACATAGATGAATAAAATTAAAAATAAATATCTCTTAGAAAACCTGAAAACCAAACACAAATATAATGCTAGAAGGCTAGAAGACAATTTTAATCAAACAGACACTGAAAACTTTTAGAAGGGAAAATATCATAAAAATGCAACTGACAAATGGCAAATCTGGAAACACATTTATAACAGAAACACAAATGCTAATTTCTGTAAGACAAAGATGACAGGCACATTTCACAAGGAAAGACAGCACAATGTTTGGGGGGGACTGAGAGGACTCCAGGAGGTTGGTTTCCCTTGACAGTGTTGAAAGGATCCCTGGCTACCAAGGAATGAGCATCGTATCGAATTCCTGCTGGTCTGGTGTACACAAAGGACCATAGCCAGCTGTTTCAGCCTTCTAAAAAGCAATCAATCAATACTCTTACAACTTAAAATGTACCTGCCATTTGCAAGGCATTGAATGATGTTCCCCTAGGTTCGTATGTTGATCCCTAGCCCCTAGGTTGACTGTGTCAGGAGGGGTCTTTGGTTGGTGAAGAAGTCCTGAGGGTGAAGCTTGGTGATGAGGATGCAGTTAAGAAGCTGGGTTCTTTCTCTATGATCAAGAGACCTCATGAGACATCAAATTGGAAGTGCCTTGACCCTGGGCTTTTGGCTTCCAGAACAGTAAGAAACATGTGTCTGTGCTGTCATAGCTGCTCAGGTTGCCAAGACTCTCTGACCTGACAGCTCCATCTGAGTTCCACATGCCTAGAGATATGATAGAAACATACAGAGCCAGGAGTATGCCCCAGCTGCAGAGCCAGCCAGATGAATTATGCTATTCCACATGGTAGCCCAACACATGACCTAGACAGCAGGGCACAGCTGACTTGAGGGCTTCTGTGGAGGATGAGCAGAAGCTGCAGAGGTATGCTTAGAATGACTTCATGTTCTTGCTCACACTGACAAACACTGCTTCTCATTTCCTCCCTTTTACTAACTGCCAAGTCTGGTCTATGAGGACCAGAGGTCTGAGTAACTCAGAATCCTCTTCTGACTTTACCTTCTACAATGGTGGCCTTTGACCCACACTACACAGGGCTCCTGGAGCCTGTTTCAGGGTTAGTTCAAGGACAGCAGGGAAGATTTAACAAGGCCAGGCAAGTGAGTAGCAAGCTCCTGATAGACCAAAGCTCTGCTCAGAAGCCTCTGTGTTTATATGTGCACACATATGTGTCTGGGATGCATACGCATGTGTGTGCATGCATTCATGCTTATGGTGCATGTGCACATATTTTTGGGCAATGTCTTGCACATGTATATGTCTGTACACATTTTTGTAAATGTGTTTATGCATTAACACGTTTTTGCATATCCTCTGCACACATGTGGGTACTGTCACTACTCTACTGAATTCTTCTTCTCACCTTTCTGCCATTTTGATATAGGCTGTGTGGAATGAGGACCCCCCAGTCCAGTTTCCAAGCCCTACAGTTGATCTGACCTCTCCTCACCCACTTAGTCACTCAGCTGTGGCCAGGCAGGAGCTCAGTTCTGGTCTGGTCAGGTGGCTGTCTGGGACTTGCTGTAAGGCTCATGGCTGTGGGGTATACACCTCCCTTGCCCAATAGGCAAGACCCAGGCTGGGTTTGGGCTTCTGAGAGTCTGGAAATCCTCAAAAGAATTTTCTCTGGTTTCCAGTGAGAATAAATTGCTCTGGTGCACACAAGACACTGAAAACTGAGGAAACTCTGCAGCCTCTAGCTTCATGGAAGAGCTGCTCTGCCAGCCTCCCTTAGCCAGGGAGAGGCTCAAGTTGCCTGAAGAAAGCAGCTTGCCCCTGTCTTGGGAAGCATCCCTGGGAGAATAACATTGGCTTAGTGAAACCCAGACAAGAATAAAATGTCTGAGAAATGGAGTCGGAAGGAAAAACGTTTCTTATTGCTCATGCTAAGGTTTGACTCCATTTTGCTAATTTACCCAGAATTTCGTCTTTTTGGTTGTGTGCTTGAGCTAACAGCTGCATCAGCTCTCCAGTCCTAATGTACTCAGGATTTTTTTACTCTTTCGATAGCCACCCCCCACCCCCGCTTGCTGTATTCTGCCCTTTGTCCTTCTCTCCCCTTTGACCTTTTCATTTTTGTAAGAATCACAGGGTCATCTGGTGTGGGGGCACAGCTGGATCCTTGACTAGATTCTCCAGAGCATTGCTCTGGGAACAGGCTAGAGGTACCTGTCCCTCTTCTCAACCCTTATCCCCAACCCTTGGCACCAGCCTGGGTGTGCTGGTGTCTGATTCTGGGTGAGTAGCAGGACTTGGGGTTGAATCCTCACATCCTGGGAAACTGTAGGATTTTCTCAGTTCGTCTCCTCATTTGTGATACAGTGACTGCTGGCTCAAAGGTTACTAAGTACTTGGCCAAACAGTGTAGGGAAATAGACTGGCATCAGAAGAAATTTAACAACGTGGGAGAAGGTGGAGACTACCTGGATAGGAGCTGGCAATGAGGGGGAAAGGCAAGATAGTACTTCAACCTGCTCAACTTCAGGGATGGCTGCTGCTTTTCCTGTCTCTTTATGTGAGGGGTTTGGGTCCTTGGGTTCTCAGTAGTAAGACAGTGCTGAATACTATTGCAGAGAGATGTGGGTATGAGTGGTCTGTGGGGATCAATTTCCTTAAGTAAAGAGCTAAGGAAAGAACTTGGAGCAGCTCTGACCACCGCAGTTAGGATCTGCCATTGTTCCTTGCTGTTCACTGCTGTCATGTATGTGAGGAGACACCCATCTCAGGACAAGAGCTTCAGGGATCTCACAATACACTACATGGCATTTTCCAGGTAACAGGTTTTTGACTTTGTTATCATGACAGAACTTTCCCTCCTCAACAACCCACTCTTGAATCATGAGACCAGAGAATGCACTTACCTACAAGGGGACAGTGATGGCTATACACAGATGACATGCTATGTAGCTATAAGATACTTTTTTGTTTCAAAATTAAACTATTTAAAATTTGTGTAGGTAAAAACTGGTGTCAGCACATGAATCTGTTTAACTGGAGCAGAGGAAGCCAGTTCGGGGTCCTGGTTCTTTAGGGGTACTGCTGACAACCTCAAGACTGAGACCACAGACCAGGAGAGACATACCAAAATACCAAACATGGAGTGTTATGTGCTAGCAGGAAAAAGTTGGGAACACTTGCATGTAGGAGGCTCTGAAATACTTGTCCAATTGACTTGAGTAGGCAGTAAATTATCACTGCTAACTCCACAAGCAGAGCCAAGGGAGAATGGCCATGTACATGAGATAGCCTCTTCTACACTGCAGAAACAAGGACATTGCCTGTCCTGTATTAAAGATATGGACTGAGTGTATGTAACATGAAGCTGGCCTCCCCACTAGCATTACCTGGGGTTTATTCACTGTGTGAGTTGGTTTCCTCCAGGAAAATGTGTGGAAGGAGCCATCACTTGGGATCTGGGTGATTTGGGCAAAAACATGCTTATCTACATTAAGACTTGTCACCTGCTGCTGCTGTCCTCAGCAATGTCTCAGCATTGGTCTGTCAGAGCCTAGGCTTGAAGCTTTTAGATCTCCCAGCCCCTGACAGTTTTTAGATGCCATCTACCCTTCTTGTGGACCCTCCTGGTCTTGGTTGCTGACTCAGACCTGCACCTGTCCAGCCTCTCTCCATTGCTTAGGTCTGACCAAGACTGTGACAGCACTGCCCCTCTTTTTTGGACATATCCATAGCCCCAGACTGCTTGGACTCATTATGTAGACCAGGCTGGCCTTGATCGCATAGAGATCCACCTTCCTCTGCCTCTCAAGTGCTCGGATTAAAGGCATGAGTCACCATGCCCTCATAGCACTGCCCGTTTGTCATGAGAGGAAAGAGACTGGTAGGTGCTGGGTCCCTCCTAGAAAGGAACTTGCCCTTGGCATAGGCTTACCCAGGAGGCTGGCTGATCATGGCAACGCAGTGTACCAGAGCTGGAGTAGAGTACACTGTCCTTGACCAGCACTGAGATGGCTCTCAGCATGAAGGAGAGGAAGAGGTTCAGGTGGATGTAGTTCCTGGTGCAGTGTAGCTTCCTGGGGAGCAAGAAGAGTTAAACACTGATGTTGTGGACACTTTAATGATCGTCTATGGGTTTTCTTCTTATGAAGTTAGCCACCTATTTAACTCTAGTCATTATAGTATATTTTGTTGTTTCCAGTTTTGAATCATGACAAACATTTTTGTACATGGACTTCGCCCTTTATTTCAGACTATTTACATAGGCTGGAGTTCAGGACAAATGCATAAAGCCAATCCAGGAGCTCTGTGCCTGAAGTTATCTATGCCACATTCCTGATGTCTCTCATGTGATCCCAGGACTCAGGCTTCGAAGCTCAATACAGACGTCCCATTTTCTTCCTCTGCAAGGTCTTCAAAATTTTGATGCTTCTATTTGAAATGGAGTAGCAGGACTGACTTTGATCACTCCTCAGATGATTAAAGGATACTTGGCCTCAAAGGCTTGGAGGAAGAGTCCTTAAGACTTGGGAAACAAGCTTACCAGGTTCAGAAAGTAAACAACTCACAAGTCTCAGAAAGTTCTTAAAACTTACAAGATGTAAGCAGCAATAGCTGCTGGGGAAAGGAGACTCTCCAGTCCACCTAGGTGCCTGCAACTGAAACGGGAGCTCCAGGGATACAGCTCTAGTGAGTCACCGTCCATGTTGATGGGCTTTCTGGTGAAGCAGCTTGTTGGGCAACCCTGCTGTTAAGGGTGGCTCCTTTCTCAGCAGGAGCTTCCTGCCTGACTTACTTGGAAAGTGCCGCCAAGCACGGATGCTTGGCCTCATTTAACATGACCTTTGACACAGTTACCTGGAGTAAAAACTACCGCCAGGTTTTTTCTATATGATAACTAGGCATTGCCCGATAGTCGGATGACAGGAGCCTTTACTGCCACATGTAAATAAAGCATACTATGAGCACCTATCAGCTGAAGCATTGGCTACTGCCTCCACACTATATTTTCCCTGACCCCCACTGAATAAACGGAGCTGTTTCACTGAGTCTGGAGCTGTTTGTATCACTGAACCTGTCTCCCCAGAAGGGCTTTCTTCCGTCAGTGCTCACTGGCCATCCTGACCCCGTTAGTCGCTTCTGCTCCCTTTGTCCTTGTGGAGCAGTGGACAACGACCCACGAGGAGAGGGAGTGACTCCACAGCAGCTGGCTTTAAGTCCATGTTCCTATAAGTAGCCTTTCATCCATACTCTTGTAAGCAATCCCAATAAACTCCTTGGTTCACTAATCTAGACTTGAGTGGAATTATTGTTTTGTTTCGTTGCTGGTATCTATCTGGGGTGAACAGACCGCCGTTCACTCATGCCTCTGTAGAAAGTCAGACATCAGAAACAGAAAAATAGACAAAAGAAAGAAAAATGAAGAGAGGTGGAGTACTGCCCATCACCTGCATAATGGGAGTCCCAGAGTTTCATTTAAAGTCACATGGAATTGCAATAGACTCTCAAATGGCCATAGCAATCTTAAAAAGAACAAACTGGAAGGACCCCTTATTCCAAAAGTTCCTGCAGACTATGGTGATCTAGCAGTGTGGCTCTGCAGATAGCTCAATGGAACAGACTTAGAGTCTTCAAGCAAATCATATAGCTATGGTCACTTGGTTTCTGATAAGGGTGCCAAGAACACTCAGCAGTGAGGAGCAATCTTTTCAACTACTGATGCTGAGCCACTGGATATCTACTAAGAGAAAGAAAGCTAGAATCCTGCTTCACAACATGTAAAAAACTCAAAATGAATCAGTGGAGAAAATACAAGAGCTTAGAGGTATAAAACTCTTCTGGAAAAACAGAAATTTTCATGAGCTTGAATTTGGAAAAAGTCTCTTAAATATGATACCCCCAGACACAAACAACATAACAAAGAATAAAGTGGACTTCATCAAAATTTTATATACTGAGTACACACTGGTAAGAGCTTAAAGACAACCTGAGGAATGGGAGACAACATTTGTAGACTACACTTATGATACAAGTTTGTATCTAGAATTTATAAAGAGCTCTTTAAACTTAACAAGAGGCCAGGAGTGGTGCCACACAGCTTTCTTTAATTCCAGAACTTACTAGGTGAGTCCTGCCTAAAAAATTAAAACTTAACCAGACACCAAACAATTTAATTAGAAACTGGGAAAACATAGGACACAGTAAATACACAAATGGTCAAAAGGCACATTTGGGGGCTAGAGAGATGACTTAGTTGATAAAGTGCTTGTTGTACTCAGCCTGAGGACCTGAATTAGACACCCCAGAACCCATGTAAAAAAGCTGGGTGTGGTGCTGGGGAGGGTGATCCCTGGGGCTTGCTGGCCAGCCAGCCTAGCCAAATCAGGGGGCTCCAGGTTCAGTGAGAGACTATCTCAAAAACAAGAGTCGAGAGTGGATGAGGAGGACATTAGACATCGACCGCTGGCCTCCACATGATGTGCTTTTGCACACACACACACACACACACACACACGTACACAAGTGTGTACATACCACACACACAAAACACATGAGACCATGAGATACCACTTCATTTCACACCCATTAGGATGGCAAAAATATGAGAAAAAAAAAACCAATAGAAAATTTTTTAAAAAGCGCTGGAAAGGATGTGGGGGGATGAGGCCTCATACGGTGCCAGTGGGCTGTGACATGGTGCAGCTGCTGAAAACAGTTTATTGGGCATAAGTTAACACAGAATTGCTTTTATGATCCAAAGACCCAGAGTTGTACAGAAGTATTCAAATAAAAAATGTGTATATGAATGTTCATATACACAGATAGGAACTCTATTTGCAGTAGACAAAAGGCAGAAATAACTCAAATACACAGATAAAAGAATAAGTAAGATGTGCATATATGCATATAATAAATATCCAATTTGGAAGAGGCAGGAAGTATTGACATGTCCTGAAATTATTATGGAGAGGAGTTGACAGAGGCTGCATACTGCAGGATCCATTTATATAACACATGAAAACTCAGTAAGTATATATGAGCAGAAAGCAGACTGAGGGGTTCTAGGACCTGGAGGGAATAGGGACTAACTGCTTAAGGGGTACAGAAAAGTTGTGGGACAAGACTGTGATGATAGTTGTACAACACGTGGAGTTCCCCTAATCTCCCATTGGTCAAGGGAGAAATTCAGCTGCATATGAAAACATTACTTTCTTTCCTGTGCTGGATAGCTTTACTGTCAACTTGACACATCTGGGTTGAGGGAGCCTCACTTGGGGAATTTCCTCTATTGGACTGGCCTGTGGCCATGTCTGTGGGACATCTTCTTGATGAGTGATATGGGAGAGCCCAGCCCACTGTGGGTGGTGCCTGTGTTGCATAAGAAAGCAGGCTGAGCAGGGGCCAGGCAGCAAGCCAGTAAGCAGCATTCCTCCATGGCCTGTGCTCCAGCTCCTGCCTCCAGGTTCCTGGCCTGAGTTCTTACCTTGGGCTCCCTGATGAACTGTGACCTGGGAGATGTAAGCCAAATAAACCCTTTCCTCCTCAAGTTGATATTGGTCAGAGTATTTTGTCACAGCAATGGAGAAACAAACTAGGACATTTCCTGACAGACATTGTTTCAGTGATGGAAAATTTAAAATAAGAAGTTACTGGAATTTATCAGAAATTTAACACGAGGAGCTGATTTTCCATTATTGTTTCATTCTATGGTATAAGAGTAAAAATATTTCTGCTCACTTTTTCTGAAGCAGTTGCTATAAAAACCATCAAGAATGCAAGCAGCAAAATCTTTCTGTATAGCAGGGTATGGTGGCAAACACCTTTAATCCAACACTCCAAAGGCAGAGGCAGGAGGCTCTCTGTGAGATCAAGGCCAGTATGGTCTACATAGCAAGTTCTAGGCCAGGTGGCACTACAGGGAGACCCTGTCTCAACAACCAACTAACCAACCAAGCCACTAACCAACCAACCAAGCAACCAACCAACCCACCAACCCACCAAACAAACAAATTAAAAAACAAAACCCAAATCTTTCAATATATGCCTGTAGAAGCTAGGAAGCACTGGGAGACTATGGGACAATGGAAGCAAAGGGACCAGAAGATGTAACATCCCTGCTCTCTGCCAGGCTTGCTGTGTAGTCACTGAGACAGGGTCTTCTCGTAGCCCCACCTGGCCTGGAACTCACTATGTAGACCAGGCTGGCCTTCAATTTACAGAGATCCGCCTGCCTCTGCCTCCCCACTGCTGGGACCAAAGGTGCGCGCCACCACACGCTGCTTGTTTTACTTCCTTAAAAAATAAACATTTTGCCGGGCGTGGTGGTGCACACCTGTAGTCCCGGCCCTTGGGAGGCAGAGGCAGGCAGATCTCTGTGAGTTCAAGGCCAGCCTGGTCTGCATAGTGAGTTCCAGGACAGCTGGGGCTATAGGGAGACCCTGTCTCAAAGAGACAAAAAAAACCAAAAAAAAAACCAAAAAAAACCCAAAAAACCCAACATTTTGTTTATAACTCTTCTGTAACACCTTTAAGAAGGCTTGCAAACTTGACTTCTGAGCAACAGACCAACATATCTGATTATCATCCACTCTGCTCACTCTAGTTACCCCAGAGTACATGCTTATTAAAAGCCTATTGATTTTTCTTCCTATGAATTAACAAGGATTTTTGGTTGTCCTATGACTGTGTTCTGTGAATACTTTGATGATGTACACTGATTTAATAGGTATAAAGTTCAGTATTCTTAAGAAATAGTAATTTTTAATTGTGTGGGATCATTAGGAAACAAGCTGTTCAATACAAATTTGTGTCCTAGATTATTAAGTACCAGCCGTTTTAAAACCTTGTTTTTTAAAGATTTATTATTATTATTTTTTAAATTTTTATTATTTTTATTTTATGTGTATGCATGTATTGCCTGCATGTAGGTAAGTGCACCTGTATCGTGCAATGCCCAGAGAGGTCAGAAGAGGATGTCGGATCCTCTGGGGCTGGAGTTATGGTCAGTTGTTATCTGCCATGTGGGTGCTGGGATTCAAATCCAGGTCTTAAGAAAGAACAACCAGTGTTCTTAACT